ATTGGTTGCAAATCAATCGATTGCTTGATTTAGTTGCAATGGGAAAATGGCTTTTTTACATAGGGCCAGGTAGGGTTGGATAGCTTTTTCCCTTCAGTATAAAAGATTATCATTGAAAAACTGCATTTTGTATTTACTCGGGCAGTCTTCTCCTTATATTGAAATTAGTTTGATGATCTGTAACATTTAAGTTTGACAAACATGCAAAAATAGTTCAAATTGGGAATGGGGAAAATGCTTTTTCGCAGGACTGTATAATGTTGTGCTCGAAGGGTTTTTTTATTCAGCGCCATTTAAGATTATTGCATCTAGGAGATTTTATTTATTTACTTTGTTTTTGAGTCTCAGGGTTGGGCGTAATGTGTCTAATTCCCACCCAACTCTGAGTGTTTAATCTTAGCTAAGCACATGTGAGATTCCTGGCTGCAGATTCGGAGGAGCGCAGACATTAGCTGTCACCAGCCTGGTTCTTTACGCACCTCTGTCCACAGCTTAGCATACGGATTTGGCTGGCTAGGGGAGCTAGTAATGAGCATGCAATGAGATTATTTTTACTGTTAATCATTAATAGGCTCTTTTTTCACATTTAAGAATAGGCAAACTGCCCATTCTGTTCACGATTTTGAATACATAAGTGTGATAGAGAATGTTTTAGAAATATACCTATCTTTTTAATCTTGTTTTGCGATGGAATATTTTATATTGTACTCCTAGGATATAATTACAAGTCTGGAGGCTCATTTGCCATATATAGATGCTGTGTCCATTTTAGTCCTGTGGATCTGCTCCATGTTCTCTGCTGTCTCAGTGACGTGTCCTTATACGACTCGCTGCAAGAAGTTTATCACCTTGCGGGACATTTTGCTGTAAAAGTTACTTCTATGTCCGTTCTGCGCTCAAACCTCCTAAATCGGTACAATACGCATATCTGAACATGGAGGAAGCAAACAGTTGATCCCAAACGGCCAACTTACTTTGGACTACTAGGATGGGCGTTAGCTATTTGCAGAAGGGACACTAACGCCCTTACCAGTCAAAAACGGCAAGAAATTTCACCACAAGCAAAACAAGATGTGAATTTTTAGACTTACCCTGGGAGGGTCAGTTTGCGGGTCCTGGGCTGGGGAGTAGCAGGGAGCTCTGCTGCTTGGGTGAAGGTACTGTCTGTCTCTCGGGGACCTCTGACTTCGCTTGCTGAGATCGACACACGGGGAGATCAGACTCCTCAGTGTTAGGTCAGCTGTTATTTTAGTCTGGTCCGGGCCCTGCCCTGCCTTGGGATAGCGGTCAGGAATTTGCACCCCCTCGCCTCTATTACTCTGCCAATAAAATTATAAGTCAGCGCTCTGAGGTGACACCATCTGGGGGGAGGTAGCAGGCTTTCTGTATACGAAGGACCCAGAGTCTACCTGATCTAGCACTCCCTCGCCTGAAACTCTGTAATGCTTGTGAAAAGAAAACCAATTACCCCCTTTGTTTGGCTGGGTACTCCAAAAGTAATTTGCGTGTGCAGGCTGAAGCCTTAATTCTCAACTTTCATTTATTAAATGAAGGGGATATTTTTTGTTTCAATGTTTAGAAACCACCACACTTTATAAGCATAAATTTGTACTTCTAATTTACTCATTCATTTCCCCCCAGTGTGGACTGTTCAATCACAGTCATCTGGAGGTTGTTTACATTCTCTGTACCCTGATGAGGTATGTGCAAATGTCAGGAATTTAGTGCATGTGATACCAATACTCTATGGATCATGTGTCATAGCGATACTCAGGGTGGATATAATATCAATAAGCTGACCGCCTCTAATAGTGATGTGCTGAATGTACAAATCATTGGAAACACTCCCATAACTTAAAGCGTTGTGAAGCCCATAACACGCTAATTTTTTAGCACTGGTTTGGACGTGGATTGATTCAGTTGCAGGTAGTTTTTAGACCTGTAGTCCTGTCGTTATGGGCAACTATCCGAGTGTCTGCCTGTAGCTGTCGGAGAGCGTCGAATTTTGGCCACTTTTTTGCTGTCTCTGTTTTTTGGTGTTTGGCTTATTTTTTTCATAATTTCTGACAGTTCCCCATGCTACTCTCGGTGCTTTTGCAGTTTTTATAAGCAATGCACTGGAAATTTGGGCTCTTACTGTAATACTTGTCCCCTTTGGAACTCTGTTTGTGTCCTCATCTTGCTTTGGAATCTTACCTGGAGAGGTTCTGCTGGTCGGACCTCTTTTAAGAAGACACATGCCGCTAATTACCATTCACATTAATAAGGAATGACGTATGGTTGTGTTTATAATTGTGATTTAGAGCAGTGTTTCCCAACTGCGCTCCTGCTGTACCCCTGCCCTGCGTGTTTTGGATGTCCCCGATTTAACCCCCCTGATTCAGATGATTTGCTCGTCAGTAGAGCACTTGATGACCTGGATTGGATGTGTCAGATCAAGGAGACATATAAAATGTGCAGGGCGGGGGTACCCTGGGAACAAGGTTGGGAAACACTGGTTTGCAGAATTCAAATTTAGTGCAATATTTAGGGATGCACAGTTATGCTGATTTTTAAGGATATAATCCTTGTTTTTACTGAGGATGTGCGGTTAATATTCCATGAAGATACAATACTGGTATTTTACTTCATTATTATTTTTATTTTGTCCAGAAAACCCCAATGAGATTAAGATCTTTTTACAAGACCATTCTTGATGGTAAATTCAAGATACTGCAATTACCATCTGACAGGTGACAAATGCACCGAGAGCTGCAAATATATTTTTACTCGTCAAACATCAAGAATAACATCACGGATGACATTCAATTCATCGCGCATACTGAATGATGAATGAAGATGTGTGCAGTTATGATTCTAGTCAAAATACTCACTTTGAAACCCTTACCAGCCAAAATGTGTTCCTTGAAATCAGAAATACAATTCTAGTGATGCAAAACTACATTACAAGGCCCGCCGTACGACATTAACTGCAGAATTGACAAAATGACCTGTTCAAAATACTTTGTGTCCTTGTTTCTTTATTTATGTGGAACAAATTCATTCATCACCAAATCCACTGATTGCAGGTCAGGGTTTTCCCATCAGTGTAAGGTAAACTTAAACTTAGACCTATATTTGTCCCCATGGGGAAATTCATCTTTACAGATCTGCACCTTACAGACAATAACCAACACCAACACAACTCTATTGGGCCCTGGGGCCTGGCCTAGCCGACAGTGGCTGACAGTGCCTTACTTCATCCTCTGTGAAGTGGACTGGCTCTTCAAGGACGGGTGCTGGGCCAGCTCTCCATAAAACCTCAAACTCAAGTGAAAAGTCCTGACTGTTGTTGCGAGCATAAAATATGTTTGGTTCCTTTGCAGAGGATTCTAGGTCGGTTATTGTTTATGTGGTGGATTTGTGTTCACACCCAGTTTGGGTCCTTACCATCTGGAAAGTTTGTTTGGTGTTTATGGTGCTAAATTCATGTTTCAGCTTGTTCTTGTAATGCAGTTTGGCCTTGAAAACCTCATTTTTGATGTTTCTGTTTCCTATGAATGCTTTGTGCTTTCCCTTCAGGCTCTGTCTTGTTTGGGGAGTAATCCAGGGCTTGGAGTTGGGATATTTCTTGATTGTCGTGGTTGGAATAGTAGTGCTCATGCAGAATTTTATGTTATCTGTGATGACGGAGACCTTGTCATTCAGATTGCCACCAAAAATACTCCAGTCGGTGCGTGTCTGGAGTCTTGATGTTGGGAAATCGCATCCTCCGACCACTGTAGGATTGGAGCACAACCTGGATAGTTTGCCAATCTATCGCAGAGATCACTTTCCATTCAGACAAACACCCATACCTATGAGCCAAAGAAAACCCTTGCAAACACGGGGGGCACATGCAAACTTCGCTCAGAAATAACCCAGGCCGATTTCAAATTTATGATCTTCAAGTGGGAAAGATGAAAAGTAGAAAGACTGAAGGTGAAACAAACATTTCAAATAACTATTAACCTTTTAATTTTTCACACTTATCCCATCTGAGGAAACAGATAAACAGACATTATCACAGAGTTACTGTAATCATGCAAACTATTCTAATATGCGTCAGCTGCATTTAGAACCGGAAGGTTCTAAGATGGTCCTCTCCGTCTTATGAACCAACTGGAAACAAGTACATCTGACTACAGGATTCCAGAGTGGTTTTTAATTTCCCCCGAAATGGTTATGTCCCACAGTTGCTTGAATTAATTTGCCGAAGTGTTGATTCAGGAACATGCGAATTTTGCACTTGGTGAAGGAAAAATAAGTATTAATTAATTTTCATCCTAGAAATTAATTAAGATTGCTTAATATCTTGGGGAGAGCACAACTGAGAGTTGGCTTTGTGCAGAATTATGAACACAATTATAAATGATTCTCAATGGAATATTTACAACAGAGTATTAAAAGGTAAACAGACTTAGTTAAAAAAAAAAAAATTAAGAGGAATTTTTTTTTGAAGAGTTTGGGTAGCATGGGGCCTCAGGTTGTCTTTTTCGCATTTACAATGTTGCAGGAAATCCAGTTCATGCCATCCTGCAAAAAAAAAAAAAAATAATGAAGATTAGCAGCTTTACTGATAAATATGTTAACAACCATCACTGAACAAATGAGCAAACAATGATTTGTGCTGTACGGGGAGGACTGATTAGACAGATGCACAGTAATACTGACAGCACTGCAAGGAATGGAAGTGAAAAAAGAGTAGACTTCTAAATAGGGTCTAGGGGGTCATGGTGCAGCTTGAAGAGGTGAGTCTTCAGTTCTTTTCAGAACGTAGAACTTTCTGCAGCAGTAGGTGGAAGCCTGTTCCAACTCCAGCGTGCAGCATTGACACCTTAGTAGACATTTTAGAGTCTGAAAACCTTTTGGCGATACAGAAAAGCTGTGTCTTTAGAGGGCCCATGTTCAATATTATAGGTTGATAAACAGTATAGTACTAATGAAGGGGATTTTTCCCCAATGTCATTCCAAAACCACATTGCTGCAAGCAGGGTTCAAACCTGCACGGGAAGACCCCATTGGATTTCAAGTCCAACACCTTAATCACTCAGCCATCACTGCACACAAATCCCTCCCTCAGGTTGTTACAAACCAGATTTGCCATGTGACGTGTGAACAGTGTCACCTTAGAGTTTGACAAACGCACTGTTTTCTTTTGTTGCCTAAACATCTGATGAAGAAATAGACCTGCCAATCCATGGGCATTTCTCTCAGTAAAAGCAAGAGATCCGGGCATTATTATACTGAAGGAAAATTAAAAGTTCTGGACATCCTTGAAACAGCCCTGTGCTGAAAATCACAGTGTAAGGTTTTGTTTCCACTAATTAGCTTGAATAAATTAGCCAATTGGCTTCATATGCAAATGTGGGTTATTCTATAGATTAGGACACAGGAAAAAGTTTCATTTAAGGGCCGCAAGATCAGTCTTTGGTGGTCATTCACAAGCTTCTAAAGAAATACAGCTAAAATATAAGACTTCTTGAAAGGTTTGGCTAATTAAGAATTTAAAGGCTAGAAGTTGGAGCGAAAGCCAGGAACTGAGATGGTCCTCGTCGCCCAATTCTGGTCCAAGGAGTCATGGTGCTGTTAGCAGAGGTGAGTTTTCAGTCATTTCCAGATCATCGGACTTTCTGCTGCGCTGACTGCAGTAGATTGGAAACCAGTTTCACCACCAGAGTGCAGAATTGACACATTTGTAGATGTTTACAGGCTGAAAACCTCTCTGAGATACAGTCAAGCTGTGTCAGAGTCAGGGATGCGCAATCTTATCCAGAGAAGCTAGTCTGGGTCAGGCTTTCATTCCGACCAATCAGGCACACACCTTACACCAGTGGTTGCCAGTCTCGGTCCTGGGGCACCCTTGTGTATGCTGGTTTTTGTTCCAACCACAACTGCATTGCAGTTATTTAATGAGCTGTTAATTTGTACTAACTAGGAGCATTTCATGTTTAAAGCAGTTATTTACTGCCCAAAGGCACATTTTAACAGAAAAACCTATGATTGCCATAGAGAATAAGAGACCCTTGAACATATTGTGTCTAGTTTACCAAATTGCAAGCAATTTCAGGGGACTGAAACAACTATTTTAAACGATCAAATTAGACACTGAGAAAATCAGTCAGCTCCAAATTAGGTTGCAGAAGACAGGTGTTTTGCATTCCTTCTCAGTAATTTGCTCGAACTTAATGACATTATCATGACACAAAGCAGGGCTGACTCTTTCAGTTGCTTGCCTAATAAGTTGTTAGTGTCCACAGTTTCACCAGTTAGGAACCCACAGATTGTTCACTTTGATGGGCTCCATTTTTTCCCCTTCTTTTTATGCAGCTGTTTCCAATATATCACAATATGGATATGGATTTCTTTTTCTGCATGGTATGTATGGATTTTTGCTCAAATGTGGCTTCATAGAATAAATAACTGCGCTAAACATCAGTGCACCTGGCTAAGACAAACTGACAGCTTGTTAAAATCCAGTGACTGCAACTGAGGTTGGAACAAAAACCAGCATAGGCAGGGGCGCCTGAGGACCGAGATTGGGAACTGCTGCCTTACACTACTAATACTGGGCTTTAGCAAGGAATCTTGGGGTTGATTAGTTTTATCAGGTGTGTAATTGAATGCTTGGAATGAAAGTCGACACACTTTTCACTGGGTAAGACTGAGTTCCCTGCTCTATTAACACCCTATCAAACTTGGCATTGAATTTTATGGGCTGATGTACAGTCTGCAGCCAGTCAAGCGGATGTTTTAATGGTTTTTTGTTCTTGCATTCAAAACAGCACCGCTGCGAGCAGGGTTCGAACCTGCGCGGGGAGACCCCATTGGATTTCAAGTCCAACGCCTTAACCACTCGGCCATCGCAGCACACAAACAATAGTCCCCTGGGGCCATTATGAACAAACCGGCTCTTCTTTTCATGCCCGAGACAATGACGTGTGAACTGAGTCACCTAAGACTTTGGCAAACATCCTGTTTTCTATGGTTGTCTCATAGGTCAATGAGGAGATTGACAATCAATGGATATTTTCCTCAATAAAATCGATACCTGGGCCTTTTTTCTGTAGAAGATCAGAAATTCGGGATCTTGGCAGAACAGCATCGCGACAGCCTGCTCGCAGAAAGCGCACAAAAAATGAGGCTGAATTGAACTTAACTGAAAACTCCATGTAAAAGGCGCTTCAACGCTGCATTAAACTTCAGCCCTTTGGACCTGTAAAGGTTATCTGCGGCTCAATCCTCTTTTCAGCACTTGAATGATTGACATGTGGAAATCTGATATGATCCCAAGTGGCCAGATTGTCAAAGAACTTTTAAAGTGTTATCTACCCCAAACACTAGACATTCAGAATAATTTTGAAAAAAGAAGCTCACAAATGGTGCTTGTTAAGTATTTTTTATTTTCAGAATTTGAAGTGGAACACTATCTACACAGGGTGTTCTAATACAACATCAATCAACTGCCTCATTGTGAAAGTCCTATTTTTATTGTTTAGTCATTAAACTAATGATATTTACGTTTAAATTCAGTATTTTAAGCTGCCAATAATTATGAGTATTTCACTTGAAAGCATTTCAACTGAAATGACTAAAATTACTGCAAAATTCAGCACTGAATGCGAGAGGCTTCATCTTATGTAGGAGGGAAAATTCTGGAATTTCCTGCCTAACTGCCTATGTTACTGTAAGGCAAAGAACCATTTGTGTGTTTACAGGTCCTTTGGTATGTAAATTAACTACTATTGTGTGGGAGAAGGAGGAGCTCAAGTCGAGTGGTTTTAAAAACATTTCCATATTTAACCTCCCACAATCCCCGTGACATCGTCCTACCTCTCTGGCACCATCAAGGCAAAATTTTCATGTAAATTTGCTCAGCTGCCACTGTTAAGACACAGAATATCCCCATTGCGAATGGCTCTGTATTAATTTACATTTTTCTGGGACCAAGAGGTGCCTACATGGGCTTACATTTTCATATAGATATCAGTGAGTCTCTGACATTTATCACCAGCAATTCAAGCAGCTGTTTTCCCTCTGTTTTTGCGCATAATCCGAGATATAAAGGAAAACCAAAATAGCAGACTTCATTATTTGTAATCACATAAATAATAACGACTGTTTCTTCGTAAGCGTAGATGAATATTTCTAGGACAACTGTACACTGGACATAATAAATGCGCCAAAAATTGTAGTGGAGTTCCTCATTCTCTTAGTGACAAATCAATTGTCAGAAATTTGAAAAAAATGGACATATAGATAAAATGATGATGTGTCTTTCCCCTGAGAATACCAGAAACACTGAAGCCAGGTGGTCGCCACCAGCTTTTTGCAGAAAGAGGAGTCAATATTGTTCCACTCATTTGATGGCTTGAAGCAGTAAATTAGAGGTTGGAAAACGTTGCATGGCTAGACTGCATCGAGCAGGAGACCAAATATTCTCTACAGGGCAAAACATAAGACTCAAGGAATTGTTTTCAAGCCACTTCTTGGTGGTTATTGCAGTTTGTGCAGGAGCAATTTTTCTGGATGAAAAATTGAGCCCCTTAGAACAAGAGTGGTCCAACTCATTTTTTTCATTTTTCATTTTGGACGTCTATTGCACTCAGCACTTCATGCGTTCTTAAAGTGTAGAAAATATGTCCCAGGCATTGTATAGTACTAGAACTACACTGAGTTAATCCATTATTGCACTAAACAGATTGACTACTTAGGAATCATTTTAAGATTAGAACTTTGAAAAAGACAAATATGAAGTTCGACCACTTTTGTTCTCAGGGGCTAAATTATGTGTTACATTCAACATTACTCAAAGTGCCTGGTCAGACACTGGTGCGGGTGACCACATGTTCAATAAAACTGAGCCAGGACCCTCGTGTGAATGCCTTCTGTGTCTTCTCTTATTCAGCAACTTGCGTGTCTGTTAGAGGTATGTCTCCTTTGATTGGTTTACATCTCGCATCTACTCCCCTCCCCGGCTGTATCTCATTTCATGGTTATTTCCAAATGGTCCAGTGACATGTATTTAAACCCCTGCTTTGAGTTGCAAGTTGCTGGATTGCAAGTCGCTATTCATGCTTAGAACCAGTCAGTATTTCCCAGCAGAATCTCTTTATTAAGTGAAACGTAACCTTTAATCACAGAAATTTGCGGAAGCCTTCCTCTTTACTTAATCAATTTGAACAAGGCTTCGAGCCTATTCAAGGTCCAGGATTGGAGCCGCACTCAGGTCAATCCAGTTGAAATTAGCTCCTTCATGCAGTTTAATTGGAACAAGCTCCCACGCCTAATTGAGGGTCCAGGATTGGAACTGCGTTCTTCTAAGTCCTGTCAAAGTCTGTTCCTCTGTCCAGTTAGTTAGGAACCAGCTTACAATCCCTCCACGGTCATCAGGATTGGAATCGAGCTCCTCTCAAGCTACTCCATCCTCCCTCTGGACAGTTCGGCCCTCACAAAGTGTGCGCTCCAGATGGCAGCCATTCCAGAAAGCCACTGGCCGGAGATTGGCTTTGCTCTGCTTCACTCACAACGTCTAAACTGAACTGTGGCTTCCTCTGCAGGACCTTGTCCCATATTTACCATATTACTATCCATAAACCTTAATATTGGATTGTACTCTGCCTCTGCACTTGATTCCTGGTCTGGATCATAACAGACTGAAGAGGAAGAAGGGTATCGCACACTGATTTTAATGTGTCCATGTTATTTGCTATAACCTTTCAACTGTTCTGGTATTTGCCTGGCAAACATGCTCCTCTTCAGCCATATTCAACATTACACAGTCAGCCCAGAATATTTCACAACCCTACTTCAACTACCTCCAGCTCTACAACCACTAATGATCATTTTACGATGTATAATGGCAATAATGAGAGTAGAAATGGCGCTCACCTGTACACCCTCCCCGGACAGTGCCGAGCAGGCTTGAATCTGCCACTTGCGGTCCCGGTAGGTGTGCAGGTTGAGGCCCTCAGCGATCTCGCTGGCTGGCAACGCTGTGGCCAGGTCCTGCTTATTGGCAAATATGAGCATGGGCACGTCCTTCATATTCTCCTCGTCAATCA